CTGGAGGCTCAATTCTGAACTTTTCTAGATTTAGGTTGGAGTCGCCGGAGCCGCCGTCGCTGTCCCGCCGCCGGGACACCCACCGTGAGTTTACCGGCACCGAAGGAAGCTTGCCACAGTGCCACCATCCCAAATAGGCTGGAGGGTGACAGGAGGATTTTTTACCTGAAAAATTGGCCGTGGGTCCAAGCGTTAAAGCAACCAATGACTCCTTCAATCAAATCATCCGTAGAAGGCAGCAGATAATGATTCAATGGGGGTGTTGTACATTACTCCGAAGTGATCCCCTGCATGCTACTAGAGTTACGTTGCCGCACATAGTGACCTTTCTAACAAAGCAGATCCGCCGGAGAAGCATTGTAAGGGACGTACCGTCCCGAACGAGAAATCCGACCAAGAGCTGAGGGTCATCAGATTACGGCAGTGGGGCTGAATGGTCAGGTTCTTCACTGGTTGTGTTAGTATTACGGAGTATTATACAATGAAAAGATAATTTCATTGAGGACAAGGCCGAACGGCTGTTTTCCCCACCAAGGATCATCGTTCAACTTCCGGGCGGAAGAAACTTCTTAGTGGCGTACGGTTCATGAGCAACCTGCTTGCTAGCACGCCGCTCGGTTTTAAGATTCAAGGGTCCGCCGGCCAGCACTCGGTGTAGACCATTCAAGTAACCCTCATGTTTGAGAAAATGCAGCAGCCTCGCGTCGCGTCGCTACAGGACCATTCAATTCTACCGAGGACCTAGTTGAAGCGCAACCGCCCGACTCTTACAGCTTTTTCTTTCCCCTAGCAACCCAGACACCTGTAGGGTGGCCGCTCGGCTTTCCAGACGCAGCACGCACAGCTCATACTCTTCTGTTTTTATCACCACCCAATCAATCACTTGTCAGCAATCGGCATGGACCTGACGTGTGAAGCTGCAAGAACTTGAACGGGATTCAAGATTAAAACTTTTGTATATAAGCATCGGCCTACCACGAATTATGGATTAAGACCCGTTAGTTATTCCTTAGGGTGGTACACGTTGGGCGATATATGAAACTATGTGTTCCGGCGTACAGAGAAGGAGACACTCGGTCCCCTCCAGAGCAGATGCTCTCACCGCTCTGCTCCGCATGTATTAACCCGGCTTTAGATCGTGGGAGCCCAAGGCCGGGGGCCGCCCGGCAAGGGGAAAACATCTGGGCGTCGGCTGCCGACCTGTTTAGTCACCGACCAGTCAGGCCATCCAGCAGCGGGGATCCATCTCCCTTGTCAAATGCTCAAGCTGGCACCGCTGGGCTAAGTAACCGCTCGCCGTAGCAGGTTGACTACCCAGACCACGCAAGGCAGCCCGGCTCTCTACGCCGCACGTCTACCACGACCTCAGAGCACTCGAGCTAGGCTGCCAATTCCAAACAGCTCAAGCAACCCACCGCTCATCCTGTTCAAATTGGTGACGGACGGTACGAGGTCCCACCGCGGGGGCTACCTCCATTTCCAGAACACCACCGGCGGATCTTGCCGGGCAGGTATTCGATTACCGCTCGGCCTACGGCTGGGTTTGCAAGAGATCCAGGGCAGGGAGATGCTTTTCTCTCGTAGCTGAATGAGATGAAGATAAGTAAGTGGAAATCAGAGAGAAGGGAAAGGCATGGTTCATTAATTCACTCACCGCTCGTCCGGGACCAAATGCCACGAACGTCCGCAGGAGTGAGGCCACGTCCATACATGGCTGCTATGGCCATAAGCTGACCATGTCCGCAGGAGGAGGCCAATTAATGCAAAGCCAAATCCCTTGAATAATATTGACCAGGTCAAAATCAGTGAAAAACCAAGCCTCACTTCACTCGTACTCAGCTGCTGGCCGAACCTTTTATTTCCAAAAGCTAAGTACACATATACTTTTAAATTGGTGCATTTAACCGCAGCATTATGATTGATATCACTTTTCATCATTATTACTTAATTATTTAATTAACAGGGATTATAATATCCCGAATTAAATCATGTCAAGCCCAGCTCAAATGATGGTATCCCTCCGTCATTTTAATTTAAGACCAGGCGACGAGCCGAACCACGGGTCTTTGTACCCCTAGGCCAACGGTCACGCCCGGAAGAACCTCAGACCAATATATATTAAAAAAATGTCTAAAGGGGGATGTACACATATGCATATTGTCTAGCCATTTGGCTGCGTTACTATATTCATTGTGCAGATAAAGACCATGATCGGGATGACTGATAGCAGATGAATCGTAATGGAGACGAGCATTTCCACTCCAGAGGCCGAGGGCCTGGAGAAGAGCATCCCCACTCCAGAGGCCGAGGGCCTGGAGAAGATCATCCCCACTCCAGAGGCCGAGGGCCTGGAGAAGAGCATCCAGACTCCAGAGGCCGAGGGCCTGGAGAAGAGCATCCCCACTTCGGAGGCCGAGGGCTTGGAGAAGAGCATCCCCACTTCAGAGGACGAGGGCCTGGAGAAGAGCATCCCCACTCCAGAGGTCGAGGGCCTGGAGAAGAGCATCCCCACTTCAGAGGCCGAGGGCCTGAAGAAGAGCATCCCCACTCCAGAGGCCAAGGGCCTGGAGACGAGCATCCCCACCCTAGAAGACCCAAAAAAAGAGAGAATGGGCGGGTACGACGAGCGGATGATGGAACAAAGAACAAAAGAATCCCAAGAAGGATCAAACAAAAGAATCCCAAGAAGGATCAAACAAAAGAATCCCAAGAGGACCAAACAAAAGAATCCCAAGAGGATCAAATAAATGAATCCCAAGAGGATCAAACAAAAGAATCCCAAGAGGATCAAAACCGTTCCTCATAGATTACGAAGGCTTAGCTCACTCAGGATCCAAAGGACCGGGCTAAACGAGCGGGTACGAAGAGCAGATGGGGACCACCATCTTACGCAGCACGATCATCCCCTCAGCGCCATCGTGTCCAGTCCACGGTTGGCTCGTCCATACCTTCCAAATGGAGACCACCGTCTTATGTAGCACGTTCGTCCCCTCAGCACCGTCGTGCCCGGTTTACCGATGACATTCACCGCTTTGCATCACCTCTTACATGCCCTCTCTCATACATTGCACTCATACATCACATGCATTCATACATTCATGCATCATCTCTCATACATCCATACATACATGTACATCATATCGAGCCAGTTCCGCGTTGTCAGCTTATATTGTGCAGGGACCTCTACGCTTCTCCGTTGAAAAGCTCGAGTCAGAGTCCTCTACTCCCACCTGATACATTCAGGGGGAGAGTGTCCGGGGAAGAGCATCCCATGCCCGACCCCGTCGGGAGGGGAGCGCCTTACCGGCAGGTTATATTCAGAGGGGCAGACACCCACTCATATATTATGATTATTAGAAGACACAGTTTCCAGCAAGACAGAGGAAGAGCACATGCAAGAGTATATTTTCTCGAGCAGATTCGCACGCTCACTACTCAAAGAACCGGGGGACTTGTGTTGAGGTATATTATCCCGGCCTACCACTGTTCAGGATCCCAAGACATTACCCAGTACGGAGCCCAATCAGTGAGGCCTGTTTCGGCCCGTTTCAGGCCTGTTTCGACCCTTTGGGCCTATTTTGGCCCACTTTGGCCCATTAGGGTAGAAATGCACCCTCCCCCCTTTCTCTACAAATATAGGGCTTTCCCTCCATTTTAGGGGGCTCCTTTTCTTCCCCCCTCTTTAGCTAGCTTATATCCTCCATTAATGGGAGCTCCAATATTGTATTATGTAATGGGGAGGAGAATATTAATAAAATGAGAGGGCTTGGACATTAGCCTAAACAGTCCCGTGATTTTCTCCCTTTCCGGGTTTCCACGTAAAAATCATTGTCTACATTGTATTATCACCCTATAGCCACGAAACCCTCCCGGAAGGGGTGTTGAACTTCCGGGCTGCGGCGAATAAACTCAACAAATATATTATTAAATGTGACAACTCTATCATTAATGTATGTTAATGTGTATGTGTGTGTAAGTTTTTTTTACACACACAAACACAACATTACTAATCCTATTTATGCAAAAATATTGATAAATTTATAATTTATATGTCTCCACCTAGGCATCCGACTAGTCGCCTAGACGCTAGGCGCTGGATTGGTGCCTGACTAGTGCCCAACTAGCGCCTAGCATCTTTTAGAACATTAGCGCTAACTGAGTATATTAATATGAAACTTAAACTTAGAGCCTTTTTGGTAACTATGTTTTTCGGTTTATCAGTTATTTTTTCACCAAACACGTAACTTTTGATTTCGCGAGACAATTTTAAATGTGTGTGATTTTGGCGAGACAACTTTAAATGTATGTGATTTTGTTTGGAAACATGGTTGTATTGGTAATGTAGTTTTTATATAAATGTGTGTGCCTTTTTTTGAAACATGGTTGTATTGGTAATGTGAAGACAAATGTGGTGAATGAATTACATATGTAGTCTCCACAAGGAGAAGAGTAGGGTTTCCTATTAGAATAAGGACTACTCTCTGTCTTATAGCCAGACAAATTTTTTCTTGGCAGACATTAGTAGTCTGGGACAATTAACTACTCTCTGTCCTACAGCCAGACAAATTTTGTCTTGGCCAAACATTAGTTGTCTGGGCCAATTAAGTACTCTTTGTCGTATAGCTAGACAAATTTTGTCCGGGCCAGACATTAGTAGTCTGGGACAATTAAGTACTCTCTGTCTTATAGCTAGACAAATTTATCTAGGCCAGACATTAGTAGTCTGGGCCACTAAACTACTCTCTATCTGGGTATCTGTGGTATTGTCTGTATGTGTAAAGTTATTGTCCTTCTACGTGAAAATAATGCCTATATGGTTATCTCTATTGTCTGTCTACATATATGTATTGTTTGTCTATTCACAACAATTGTTTAAGTCCAACCACTTATCATTCAGACTTGTTTAACCATTGTTGTTCAATGATTGCGTTTCACCTATCAACGTTTCACCAACTAGTAAAATGTATCATGTGAAAGAAGAAAAAAGGTTGTACATTAATGGTTGTACCATATTCCACACATTTTGTAGATAGACATTCATAATGTTTGCAACTAGATTTAACAACCCACAAAAATACATTCCCACATTAATAACAATTCCAATGCTCCCCCCTTCTTCAATCACCACAAACGAACAACGTATTGACATCTCTTGTTCCACATGTTTGCATACTCACAATCTGGAATCAACGACTTTCCTATTAACAGGTGCCCTGCAAAGGAAGTCACCATCACTCCACATTCTCTCGACCTGTAGACAGACAACTCAAAAGAAAGGTCAAACATTTTATATACCATGAAAGATATCTCAATATCATCACAGAGCAGTCTAAATATACACAACTACTTCACAATTTCACCAGACAGACAACTATTTTCACATTACATACAACTTAAATGGAATGCCAGACAACACTTTTCACATACAGACAACTACAAATTTTAAAGAATTCATTTCACATTACAGACAAATCAAATGGAATGTCAGACAACTCTTTTCACTTCACAAACAACTACAAACCAAGCATTGACAAGGGTGGGCTTGACACGGTTGCGTACGGGTCTGACATGGAGGCCTTGGTGCTGGACAGTGGGATTTGAAGCTAACAGATCTGAACCATCACAGGTATGTTTCGAAGTAATGGTCACTGGAATTTGAAGGTTTTGAACTGAAATTACAGGTTGATGGAGAAGGTGTGGAAGGTTTTTAAATCTGGCCGGCAGTGAAACCTACAGAGATCCTGGAAGCGCAATGGTTTCCGTCACTTTTGGCCTAGTAAGCATTCAAAGCTGATGAGTGAAGCTGATGATTTCCGTTACGTAGTCCGGCTACTGTTAGACCTCCGCTCCTGCTACCTTGTCGTTGTCGCTGGGGTCGCCGGAGCCTGATGAGGGTTTGGCTGGTGTGGGGTGGACCAAGGTTTGACAGCTGGTTACTGTCCGGATGGGTTTTCAGACTTCCCACCGAAGTTGCTTGGGTGTTAGCCGGAACCAAGCAGGGGTGGGGGGTTTGAACGATGGTGACGTGGCGTCTTGTGCTTCAAGTGCGGCACTACCTTAATTGAGGGAGATGAAAGGGAGAGGGGAAGGCCGGAAAAGAGGGAGATGAAAGGGAGATGAGGGGGAAGGAAGATGAGGGAGGGGTAAATTTTTGGAGTAATATTTATATGGGGTACAATATAAATATTGCTAAAACTTACTCACTTTTTTAGTAGAAAGAAATGAAACAATTCTGTCCAATGAGCCAAGCACAGCCGGAAAGAAATTTGAATGTCTTGAAGAAAACGGCGCCTAAATTAATACTGTAGTAATTTCCACAACCAAAATTAATTAAATTAAATAGCTGCTGCTGCTGCTGCTTAGCCTGCGGGAGAAGAAAGCCCACCGCCCGAGGAAACCACTCAGGAAGGCGAGGAGCGAACACACGGAAGTCGTCTCTCTGGAGCGGACGGAGGTAATAATATATAAGAACATTTCATTTCAAAAATAAAAGAGAATCCATCTACGAGTGACCTTCACCTGGCCTGGCCTGGCCTGGCCTGCTTCTCACGATCGTGTTGTTCTTACTTTCTATTAGGGCCCTCCCATACACATTCAAAAACATGGCCTGGCCGACCGCACATCATATCTATTTTCTATTGTTTGCCAAAAATGGGTATTTTTCTTGAACACGAGAAGTGTATGCTGGGTTCCCCTTTCCCCGCCCAGCGTGCGCCCCACCAACCATTGTCGTCGCGCCATTTCTCCCTGACTCCTTTTTTCCCGCTATTTATCACCCAAAAGTGGGCCATTCGTTTTCGGTTTTCTCTTTCACCGCTTACAGAGATGAGGAGGAGGAGGAGGCTTTATTGGATGGAAGCAATTGGTTATACGGTCTCTGCACTGCGGACTCGTGCTCAATACTTTGTACAAATAAAAACTGAAAACAAACCACGAACCACTCTCTATATACTGGGTCTTACTTTAAATGATTATTATTCACAACCATCACTACGACAACTTACGTTAAGGGTGTTTGGATGAGTTTTTCTTTTCATTGAGCTTGCCATTCGAATCATGTTCTTTTAGGTTCAGATGTTAATCTAAATTGTTCCAATTGTTTACTTTCAGTATGCAATTTGTTGGTCAAAAGGGAAAAAATGGGGTTGTTGGAGGTTGTTTATATTTTAGGGTCTTGATTTGGCAAAATGCTCAAATCAAGAGGCTGCAACTTGTAGGTTCCTGATTTTAGTATTTTTGGAGCATTTTCAGCTACATCAAAACAAGCTGCCGAACACTTGACTTCGGAGCATTTTACTCTTAGCCAAACCCCACATAAGTCTTCACCCTATCATTTCATGCAACATCAGTGCAGGGTTCAACTGATCAGTTTGGTCATTCAAACATTATATATGCTATTGCTCAGTAAACTTATGGGTTTACATCGTTTTGTTGGTTCATTCCAAGTCTCTATAACCCATATTTTGATCTCATTAGCACCGTAAAAATATTATATTTGTAAATGATCCAAGAAAACAAGCTGGTTATCATGCCACTGTTCTGTAGCTAGGAATGGTAAAACGGGGAATAAAACCAATTCTGTCTACTTGAATGATCACTTTGGACATTATATTCTTTCAGGGAGGGGGGTGAAATGGAACCTGCAGGAGATGAAGAAGAGTATGCAGTGTTCCTAGAAAAGGTGAAGCGGACGGTTTTCATAGATAACCTCTCACCAATGGCCACTGAGGCTGTCCTAAGAGCCGCCTTCAACCAATTTGGATCCGTCACTAATGTCTGTTTACTCCCTAACTACCTCGAGCCCCCCAATGCAGCTCAATCAGCTCTGGTGGAGATGCAAACCGCTGATCAGGCCGAATCAATCATATGTGAGGTCAGCTGTTCACCGTTCATGATCTCGGGTATGCCAAGGCCTGTGAGGGCACATGCCGCTGAAGTTGATATGTTTGATGATTGCCCCCGCAAACCTGGTACTAAGGTACAATTCCATTGGGTGGACCGTGGAAACCAAAACTATGGGATAGCCATGAGGATGAGTGCTCTTGCTAGAGAACATGCTGCCCAAGCTCAAATTTTGATGGAGGTATTTCTATTATTACATGAAGACTAAGAAATTTAAATATATGTAAACTTTTAACAAGATTCGATCAAATTTGAGTTCCCTTCTATCTAGCTTTTTCCTAATTTAAATACGGAGTACTTCGTATATGTGAACTGTGTGTATACATGTGTCTGTAGGAGCGGGTTGCAGTACAAATAGTGTTTTCCGTGCAAAATGTGCACATATACATTTTTACTCGTTTATCTGTTCATGATGCATTTCAATTCTTTGTGCGGTGGGATAAAAATTTGGTTCATTTCCCAATCATGTCACTGTTTTTTACCCAAGTTGATGCATAATGCATTGTTGGAACATTTAGAACCTTTAGATATTAAACTGGATGTTTCAGATTAGTATGCATTTTGGGATGACATATTTGATCCAAAACATATGTATCTATATTCTATATAGTTCTTACTTTTTGGGAATATATACATAAGTCGTGAGTGACAAACAAGAATGGGATTTGACTTGAGTACTATATTCTATTACTTTTTGTATGATGTTTCATTCTAAAAGGTTAATATAAGGACTACCCAAAGATCTTTTATATAAATTTTTAGTTTATAAGGTTTCAACATCTATTTTCCTTCTTTTGCCTTCACGAGGTCCTAAACAGATCACAGAGAAACCTTTCTTACACTTCTGTTTCATTAACAAATGGTTATCATGTTACTTTGTATCTTGCATTTCTGTTTCCGAGCAACGCATATCTCCATTTTCCATATCTATTGGTGATACTGATGCGTTAATTTTGTTAACTTTCCTGTCCTACATAGCATCAACTGGAAGAGGAAGAAAAACTCGCGAAAAAGCAGGAAATGACCTTGCAGGCAAATTACAAAAAGTATAAGCTGTTAATGGGTATTGCTGGAAATGGGCAAAACGGAAATGCTAATCAGTTAGCTGCGCGATATGGTCTACTAATTGGAAATTCCAATAAGTCCCATTGAGTGTATGATTTTCTTCTGATTCATTTGGACAGCTGATTTACTTAGGAAGCCAAGTAAAAATGGACGCACCTTATCTGTGAGGATTAAAGTAAAGCTTTTAGCAATTTAACATTAGGTAGTACTTAGATGGCACGAAGGGTACTTTTGTAAATGTCTTTAGGCTTTTGTGCAGTAGATATTTTGCTGCCCTGATTTGTACTCATCGGGCATTTGAAGTCCTAAAAGTTAGGATTTGGGTATATGTTTACTCGTTAAATCATCTAGGTTATGGAAGTAATGGAACTGATAAATGTTCACCTACTGCAATGGTGGCATTTGAAATCTCATGTGTTTTTTTGCCTATAACACACACACTACCGCACAATTGCAACTATAACTTTCTTGTCCTATAAGTTAGACTTCCTTTGTTATTATGACACTATTCAAATGCTCTATTTCGATCATATCCTTAAATTAATTAAAATAAATCAATAATGGTATTGAAAAGTCCTTCAATTATCCCAATAAGTTCTTCATTTCTCGGTGCTTTTCCTCTCTTGTTCTTCATGTGATCCGCAAACTGAAATACATGGATTAGAAATTACATGGAAGCCAAAACTCAAAAGTGACGCATTTAAAATAGGAAAAAGTACAAAAAAGGTACTTGTGTTTAACCAATTTTCAGATAGAGACATGTGTTTCATTATCTAACAAAGTAGAACATGTGTTTCAATTCCGTTTTCACATGAGGGGCATGACGCCTAACGCATTAGAAATCGTCTTATCAGTAATTCCGATTTTCAAAAGTGCTTTAAAAATTAAAAGAAAAATACTGGGAGGTGTGTCTCATCAAGGAGACCTCCAAATCATCTTTCTCTTTAGATATTTTGACTATGTTTGCATTATTTTTTAAAATGAAATTGTTAATATCACTTTTCTTGTGGACTTTCTGGTGACAAGGGTGGTTTGAAACGAGAAAGAAAGATGCTATGTAAGAGATAAGAGAGAAACGGATGTTTGAATATATTTCAGCATATCTAATTGGTTACAATAGTCGCTATTTATACTAGTCTTAATCATATCTACAAGGTAAGTAATAATACTATATTAAATGCTAAAGATGTGTAACAACTAATTATAATATCGAGTCTTACATGTAATTTATTTATTTCCTTCAATACGCCCTCATAAGTGAAGTATTCTGTCACTTCCAAGAATCCTGAGCTTGTCTCTAAGAAGAATAAAGTGTTGCCGAAGAAGCGCGGTTTGGTGAGGGCATTAGCTATCTGATCAAAAGATAGGATATGATGAACTTCAAGAAGTCCGCGTTGAACCCGTTGCCAAACAAAATGAAAGTCGGTAGACACATGTTTCATGCGAGAATAGAAGACATGATTTGGGGAAGACGTTGTAGCGCCTTTGTTATCACAAAGGAGGAGTGGAGGAGAAAGGAGCGGGTGCCGCAACTCACGCAAGAGAGATTCAATCCAAATAATTTCAGAGTCATCCACATAAATCAACACATAGATGTAAGATTGATGGGTGGAAAATATGAAGAGACTGGCATCGACAATACACTCATAAAAATCAAGTGAGAGAAGGAATCCACTAAGAGACTGATACCACACCTGAGGCGCTTGTTTAAGCCCATAAATGGATTTCGAAAGACAACACACAAACCCATAACCATCATTAAAGGCAGGAGATTGCTTCATGTAAACCTCCTCTTGAAAAGTCCCATGTAGGAAGGCGTTGTAGACGTCCAACTGATGTACCGTCCAACCATGAGAAAGAGAAATAGTCAAGAGAATGCGAATAGTGTCCGGTTTTATGACCAGGCTAAATGTGTTAGAATAATCAATCCTGGGGCGCTGAAGAAAGCCCTTAGCCACTAGCCGAGCCTGGTAGTGATCCAAGGAGCCATCTGACTTATACTTCACTTTATAGACCCATTTATAACCCACAAAGTTCTGACCAGACTGAGCTGGAACAAGATCCCAAGTTCCCTATTTAACCAAGACATCAAATTCTACCGACATAGTCATCTACCATTCTGGTACCTGCATAGCTTGAGAAGCACAAATGGGAATTATGTGATAACATAAAGGGTGGTTAATGGCAATATGGGCTTGTTTACGAGACCGAAGGGTCATTGGGTGGGTTTGTTTGGGTGGTGGGCTATCGAGGGGTGGGGTTGAGGCGGTGATATCAGGGGTGGTAGGTGGATGAGGGGTGGGGACAAGAGGGTTTTGTTTGGGATGCCATTGGTAAGTAATAATATGAAGTGGTGTGGGTCTAGGGGAGATGGGGTGTAGGTCACTTTTGGTGGAAATAGTGGGCGACGTATCAAGAGACTGTTGTTGAGTCGAGGTATGAGTAGTATGAGTAGAAGGAGACACCCCTGTAACCATATATAGTACTCGAAATAGGATGGTAGGACAAGGAAGGTTGAAGCCAAAGATCAACTTCAGTAGTGATATTTGAGACTGGTGGTGTGGTTGTAGGAAAAGGGGAAGGCTGACTTGTCAAACACTACATGCCTAGTAACAAACACACATTTAGTGGTAAGATCAAAACAACAATAAACACTTTGTTGCTCACAATACCCGAGAAAAATACACGATTTAGAACGTGGTTGTAACTTATGAGTGGTATAAGGACGTAATCAAGGGAAACACTGACATCTAAAAATAGCACATTTATTGTAATGAGAAGGTTGTTGCAAGAGTATTCGTATGGGGTATATAAGTTAAGAGAGAGGGAAGGTTGTCTATTAATGAGATAAATTGGCGTAAGGAAAACATAAGACCAATACTTAAGAGGCAATGATGCATGGTGAAGTAAGGTGATACCAGTTTCCACAATGTGACGATGCTGACGTTCAACAAAGCTATTGTGTTCTGGAGTGTGGGGGGAGTGAGTAAGTGAGAAACGCCACATGTGCGTAGGAATTTGCCTACGGTATTCGCCTCCCCCATCAGAGTAAGCTGTTTTAAATGTGCGTTGAAAAAAGTACTCAACATTTTTTTTAAACTGTTGAAAAAGTGAATTGACTTCAGACTTATGAGTGATAGTATAAAACCAAATATATTTGGTATAATGATATGACAAAAATAATATAGTAACGAAAGCCATCAACAGAGGTAACATGAGTGGGGCCCCAACCATCCGTATAGATTAAACTTAGCAGTCCCAAGTTCGCAAGAGATGATTTTGCAAACGATAATTTATGGCTTTTATTACTAGCAAATGAGACACAAATAAATACCTCTTTCAACATTTGGAAAAGAATTGCTTAAGGAAGAAAGAATTTTTTTAGTGACAGGGAGGGCAAGATGCCCTAAACGACAATGCCATTTATTAATGGAATATTTTTGTGTGATGTGAACAGAGAGAGATGGTGGAGGGGGCACGTCAGGTAAGTTGTAGACATCTCCATTATTCATACCCCGTTACAAAATTGCTCCCGTTCGCTGGTCCTTAATAAAACAAAAAGAAGAATGAAATTCAATTAGTACGTCATTATCTAGACATAATTTCACAAAAAAAAATTGGTATGAATAAGGGACAAAAAGGGTATTAGGTAAGGATAAAGAGTGAAGGGTCATATGCCCAATTTGTGCTATCGCAAGACCTTTACCGTTACCAATAACTAGAGAGTCGGTGCCAGTATAATCGGAGGCCAAGGTAAGGTTGTTCAGGTTGTTGGTGAGATGATTGGTTGCTCCAGAATCAAGTAGCCAGCCATTGTGATTAGTGATAGCCGTGTTGGCTTGAGGAGGATAAGCCTGTTGTTCAAAAGGATGCCAACAATTGAGAGCAGAATGGTTCGGTTTCCCACAAATTTGACACGTAACATTCGCCCCGAAATTGGAATTACCATTCTCAGAGGTGTTTCGGGCTGTCAGACTGTTGGTGGTACCCCAAAATTATTCTGGCCACATCGGTTGGGGTTGTGAGGAGCATTGGGTCGCTGGTTTCTGGGATGACTACTAGTAGAATACTGAGCTAGGTAATTTGGGCGATTGGGATGGTTGTGAATTTGAGCAGACGATCCAGGGCCCAATATAGATAAAGTATTTGCTGGGGATGGACCTTTGCGAGTTGCAAGTGCGGCTAGCTCCCCTGTAGCAACAGTATTAGCGGTCACCACAGTGACAAAAGTGTCTAAGGCTTCCTTCTGCCATAGAGTAGCTTCGAATCCTATGAGCAGAGTGTAGATGTTGCCGAATTTGTTGTGTCCACAGGTACGAATCGAGTTCGTAGTGAAGGATTCAAACTCAAGGCGGAGTCTTTCAAAGTCTTGAATGACGAAGTCCTCTTCATCTACAGGGCGGCCGACCAAATCTTATTCATTATCGAGGGTGTGGAGGTGTTGGAGATACCTCCCATCCATCGGATTAGATCCCTATCAAGTGTGGAAAAAGACATCCTTCATGTTGCGGATTTGGGATGCTGAACGGGTCCCATAGAGTTGCTCAAGGGTTTTCCATACTGCTGCAGATGTACGGGCAAACCTGTCCAAGGGTTTACACACCAAACTCAGGGAGGCAATAGGAGCATGTCGGAGGAGCCGGTCTTGCTTGGTCAACCAGAGATGGCCATCTACATCACTATAAAGAGGTGATCAAGAATCTAGTTGCGCCAAACTATGTAATTGGAACCATCTAGCTTTTCTGGAAAGTGACTGGGATTTAGAATAATCGGTCCATCTGGGGTGAGGGGCGCGGTTACTGAGACAGAAGGGATAGTAGGAATAGTAATCTGATTGGCGGGAACATTGTCGAGGTCTCCCGGTTGGAGGAGTCTCCGATTGACTGATATTATCGCCAGTTGTCATATGTGAGGGGAGGTGGGCTGGTTAGAGTTCAAGGGATCTGATACCATAAGAGACAAGAGATCAGAGAAACGAGCGTTTGAATATATTTCAGTAGATCTAACCGGTTACAATAACTACTATTTATACAAGTAGTAATCATATCTATAAGGTAATTAATAATACTATATTAAAAGCTAGAGATATGTAAATTATTTCTTTCCTTCAATAGTATGGAGATCTCCTTGACGAGGCACACCTCCTAGTATTTTTCTTTTAATTTTTCGAGCACTTTTGAAAATAAGAGGTACTGTTCATAGTCATCATCTGGCGATTTCTAACGGCGTTAAGCGCCATGCCATCTTGTGTAACAGAATTGAAACACATGTCCTAGTTTGTTAAAAAATGAAACACGTGCCCTTATCTGAAAATGAACCAAACCACATGTACCTTTTCCGTACTTTTTCCTTTAAAATATTGTTACTTCCCATGCTTTATCTTTCAAATTTGTAGACTGAGCTTGATAGGCAAAATCTGAAAAGAGGCTGAGGCCGATGCTCATTTGTACAACTCAATTAGAGGCTAGCGGGAGTGCACGAAAA